TATTTGCATCACACAATTTTAAGATGTGGGGAAATTTTTTATTTTGATGATCGTTATTAAATATTTGTAGTCAGTAATCATATTTCGTTTTTAAATTTCAAATTAATAGAAATACAATTAATGTTGACGTCAATTAGACATAAGTCCTACATATAGACAACAACATATTTGCAGCCGTGTATTTTAGAATGCTGGAGGGTTAAGTATAATTATACAAAGGCTAAGACATTTCTTCTAACGTCACTCCCTACAGCTCTCCTTGATGGTGTATTTTATGTTATTTTTGTTTACTAATCTTTTTCCTAAAAAATAAAATCATTTTTGCATCTTATATTTCTATTGCATATTTAACACACAACATAAGATATATAATCGTAAATAAATGTTCTATTAAGACATTGAGCTTTTAATTACAAATGATTTTCACAGAGAATATTATACTTGATCACTTGGATATTACAGTTTGTTTTCACAAATAAATGCAGATGCATAAGAAAATTTTGTTTTATTAGAAAAAGATCAGATTCCACTAAAATAAGACCTAACTGCCTACAACATACCACATTAGGAAAACTAATTAGATTTTAAAGCAGAGGATATCTAAACAGCTGCATAATAGGTAAATTGGAAAGAAATTGTGCATTAGGCATAATAATGCATATATAGTTTGCATGTTTAAGTCATGGTGTCACCCCCCCCCCACTCCACAGCTTCCTTTTCGGGAGAGTCATTACGTACTTAAAATGTTTGTTAGCTAAAATTAACCATTCATTGAACCTGCCCACCATTCAGGGGGGTGACGCTAAGAAAAAACAATTACACGATAAATAAAATAAATATGTTTAGGCCAGTTTGTATAGAAAATTGTAGGGAAGAAATATCCCCTATCAAACCTAATGGTGAATAGTGTAAATGAAATAGAGTTCTTAGTTTTCTTGAACTCGACATAATAAGGGATGGTACTGTCAGCAAATAAGCCCAACTTCCTTTATTTCCTCAACGGGAATAAGTACTCTTTAGAGCAAGGTAGAAACCTGGACGCTTCTCAGTCCCGAGTACGTATCGAGATATTATTGCATGAGATGCCGCCCCATCTCCAACTATTTTAACTGTAAATTGTTTTCAATAACGTAAAAATGCCGATAGATTTTTATTTAAACAATTTTTATTTAGCGTATTTAAGTAGAGAGTCGTGTTTTTTTTTACCAAAATGTTAATTACAAATTCATTTAAAGACGTTAATTAAGTTATTAATATATGCCTTGGTAGATACACTTTAATTATAAAAGTTCAGAATATTACTTTACATATTGTGACGTCGCTTCTATTTATTACAATACTTATTGTGTTTCTTTATAAAACTATGTTAGTCCTTAAATATTTGATTTAAATATTAGCTTTTTTTGCGACAAGGATTATCTAATTCGAGAATACATGGGATCACTGGCCTCGCTTGGTCGGGTCACCCTGTGCGGCACTTCCATGGGCGGCACAATGATGACTTAGGTGTTTGTCTACTTAACTCTAGTAATCAGAGTTTCTTCCAGGCATCTCTTGAAAAATTTTTACCGCCCCCCCCCCCCCCCCGAACGAAATGAAATTTATATAATTTATATAGAAAATATATACTTTTAACAGTGTCCGCCCCCCCCCCCGAAGAAAGTTTACCGCGCGCCCGAAAATTTCAAGTGCCCCCCCGGAGAAAAAAGTCTGGAAGAAACACTGCTAGTAATGGTTCCAAAGGGGCCTAACAAAAGCAAAACATTATCTAAGCTACCCTAGCTCTAGCAAAAAAACATTACCTAGACTAATACACTGACCACAATCGTGATACTAATGTGTAAGCCCTGACAGGGGGGATAACTAGTATCAACCTTCATAGGCTTATCTAATAAACTAACAGGTCAGTGCAAAAAGTTCATATCACGACATATAATATCGAAAGATGTTTTTTTTTATTGTGCACGTTATAAAATTATTTATACTATAGAACAATACCGTGTGATTAAGGAATGTTGCATCTAGACTCGGTTTACAAGACAATGTATGATGGTTTACTAATTAAATAGCTAACACATAAAATATTTAAATATTTTAAATATTTAACATTCGAAGCCAAATTCAGCTCCAAGAGAAAAACAAATTAATTTTTTTACAAAGAAGGTAAAAATAGGACAAAGAAGATCGTGTATTTGCTTGGGGAATATTAAGTTGCTGATAATTTAAGAACATTATTGATGGATGGGAGGTAATCTCAATGTTTAAACAAATGGGAAAGCAACAGGGACTTATTCCTAAAACCCCCTCTTTGAAACTTAAATCAAATAATCATGATGAAGGGGTATTAATTGATGGATAATAGAGATCCCATGGGTTTTGTGAGGAACAGAAAAATAGTACAAACATGACGAGACTTAGACAAAGGGTTTGCTGGGTCGGGTTGACTTTCAAGACTGAAATGAGAGATGTCTTGCGTAAAATTTTCTCTAATTATTGTGTAGCTTCCAATTCTTTTAGCTAGAAAAATTTTAATTTCAAATTACCAGTAGCGTGGGTAGAGAGTGTTGACCAGAGTAAAAAAAAAAAAGCTAGAACCCAACAACAACCAACAACCTAAGACACAACCACCATGACCCTTCCACAACTAACCACCAAAACCAATAACTCATGCACCACTACCGTCTTTTATGTCTTGACCCCATACCCACCATTGCCACAAACACTATGACCCACACATCACCACCGTGTTACCGCTGACCACTTATCCCAAAATCTATGTAATTAAACACACTTGTTTTATGTAGACATTTATGAAGCCAACGATGAGCGAAGGCTGCACCTTTCCACTAGACTTAGCTCTGTACTCACTTAAGTCCGGCAGACCTTGCTTCTCTTTTTACCGGCATTACTTTTCTGTTCCTCTGACGTAGGGGGGGGGGGGGGGGGGGTGGAGGGTTATTCCAGTCAAAAACTTGTCTCGCTATGTTGATATCGGTTCCCAGAAAAATGCGTAATTGGAAAACTGCGTAACGGAGATCTACGCACAGTAAAAATGTGCAATTACAAAATAATTATACTAGTACAATTTAATTTATAAGCATATATATAATTTCGTATATAAGCATTTTATCAAAATCGTAGATCAGTATAAAATTTTGAGCGATTTCCTATAATCGGAAGTGGTACTTTTTCTACTTTGAATTTTTCAAAAGCCTATAACTTTAGGACTATTTTAGATAGATAGATGAAATTTCACATGTAAGTAAAAGATCTAATTCTCTACCCTCTGTCAAATTTTGAGTAGTTTCCGTTGACCAGAAGTACTAATTTACGCTATTTCCGATTTATCAAAAAACGCACGTGAATTTATAGAGTACTAATAATATTCCGCACTTCTATATACATCTTTATTTGGCGTTCGCTTGGTGCGCAATTCTTTTTTAATGAGATTCTATTCTATTTTAAAAAGTATTTAAAATTGATTAAAAATCATAACTATATCCCGTGTTCCCATCCCCTGTTGTTTTATATAAGAATATTCGAGAAAGTTTAGGGGAGATCACTCCCGGTTTATTATATATTATATTTTAATTTCACCTATGAGAGACGACATAGGTTAAGATTTAGTTCAATAAACATTATTATAGTTGCTAAACGATGTATGGATTAAAAACAGATTGGGAAGCTGTGGCCGAATAGTAGATCGCTTTGGCTGCTTTCTCGAAGTCCTTAGGTCGTATCTTTGTTTCGGACTTAGTGTGACTGTCAGACGTCCCTAAGTCCACCCAGCTCTGATGGGTACGAACTTAGGCCTACCTTAGGGAAAGTAAAGGCGGCTGGGCATATGAACTCTACTTCGTCTAGCTAGTCAATGAATAGCTAGATCTAGGTATGAATATGAATTTTACTTTAGTGTACTTTACTTTAAAGTGGATAATATTAAAAGTGGATAGTAGGCCCTATTTAAATTATTTGCAATTAAATACGCAATATTGTAAAAGCAACTTACACTAGCATTGTTATTTCCCTACTATGTCATGACACATAGGATTGTCATCTGATCATCTTGACTTACGTGTTAATGGACACCAGCGAGAAAAGTCTCAAGGGTATTTGAGAGGTGTATAAATTCATTTAAAAATCTTGCACGGCGTAGTTACAATTAATATGGTTAAAAAATCCTGTCTGTCTGGCTTTTTTCGGACTTTACTCAAGATTGGATGTATTTGATGTTTTTAATATTTTCGGTAACTAAAAAAAAATTAAAAAAAAAAAGCAAAAACAATTTGGTTTTCACGTGTAATGGCGACATAAACAATGGCCGCCATAAATTTTATTGTACACATTGTAAGCTAAAAATAGACAAAAATATGTCATGGTGTTTAAATTTGCATAGTTATTTAAAAACTTGATCTGCAAAGTTTTGTAAACAAAATAACTATAAAGTGGGGCTGTCAGAAATCGATCACGGAGTTCCTTTACAGCCAATCAATGTGTGTCTTACGAAAGTGAAACATCGGGTTATAACTTAGGCTTGATGAAAATAAGTAGAAATGTAGCCTTAAACTCAACAAATTATTTTCAAGTTCTCTGGATCTGCAACTTGTATAGCATTGATTCTAAAAATATTACATTTCTGAATTAATTTTAGGCTTAAGTTTTTAATAAAATTTTATCTTTTATTAGTTTTATGGTCCTAAATCTAAAAAAGCACATTTTTATTCCATGTCAACAACATTACGGAAGGAATCTCGTCAACTCGCTGGTGTCCATTTTAAAATAAATCACTAGTTTTCACTTATGACAGATGGATAACAAAAGAATAAAATTAAATAAAACCTTTTAAAAACGTTAAAAATAATATTTTCATGCTTTTATTAAAAAAAACTTAGAAAATAATATAATTACGAAACTTCTAGATTCTAGGCTCTATTTATAATTAGTAATTATATTATAACTTATAAAAATGCGACATTTCCTTTTAGCCGGATGTAGAAAACGATAGATCTATATTTGAAATATAATATTTCTCAGACCTGTTTATATTTTCAAAAAGTTAGCAGATTTATGAATATCTCAGTAGATTCGTTAGTAGACAATCAATATAAGGGCCATTTGTTTTAGTTACATATTACATTATAATTTAGAGTCGCTAAGTTTTGCTTGGGGACTCATCAATATTAGAATATTAGATCTAGATCTAGATCTAGATCTAGCTAGAGGTAATAATAATAATCTATCGTTTTAGTTTTAGGTAGGCCTACGTAAAATCGCCCGATTTCGATAGAGTCGGATACAGTATTACTATTATTATAGATCTATATAGACTATATAGATTTAATCTAGATCTAGTGACCTAGTCGGGTATAGAAATCTGGAAATATAGGCCCCTAGGCCTATATGGTAATCTATCGTTTTAGGTAGCCTACGTAAAATCGCCCGTGACTAGTAATGTGAAAAACAGGTGACTCCTTAAATTTTAATAATTAGGCCTATTTCACATTTTGAAGAGGGTTTATGTAAGGTTGTCGGTATCGGCTGAGATCGCGGTAAAAACATGACCCGAAATCGCCCATTACTTTCTGATACCGGGGGCACGAGATTTGGTTTTGCATACTAATAGAGTCCTTTCATATGACGTCACGTCCGTTCGTGATACCTACGCCCGCCGCCACAGTGGTGTACACAAGACGTAAACACAATCAGCTGTTCGCCAGCGCTGGACGTGTTCACCAGCGCTGGACGCGTTCACTGTATGTAAAGAACCGCACCTGCGGAAAAGGAAAAATACGTTAAAAAACTTGAACTCTTAGGAATTGAAGATCCTTATACTGTTATTGACAGTTTCGTATAAATAAATATGTGGACAAAATTTCTAAATAAAAATACTGTTAGTAATACTGTTTGCGTTTAGAGTTAAAGTAGCCGAATCTGATCAAATGCAGTTCTCGATACTTTGTTTCATGTAAGGACAGTAAAATAATAAACTTCATTTTAATTATAAAAGATAACTATTAATAAAACAAATATGCTCGACCTTCACAAATACTAATAGTAAAAGACAAAGTCAAAAGTAATATTATAGGCTAATAAGAATAACAAGATCTAATAGTAGGCTTATACCTGGCTCCGCTGGGTAGACATAGAATCTAGAATCTACTTCTTTACTTAAATTTAATTACTTTAGATCTACATTCGATTCAAAATACACCCATAATAAATCAAAAGTAGTCATAATAGGCCTAATAAAGCATTTAATTGTCTCTAAGATCTAAAATCTCGCTCTATTATCTAATCATTTTTTTAGCAAACGAAATTTTCTGAAATTGAAATAGATTATATGACTAGATTTAGATCTAGAATCTGCTACTTAAATTAAATTGTAAAAACTTTATACAAGCATGTAGTTGATATTATTGTAGTAGAAGGCTTTAATAAATTACTAAGGCCTACCTACTTTGTTGTCTTTTTACAGCAATATGTATCTGATACTGGACTGAGTTTAATTAAATTCAAATTCATATCTAGTAATTGGTCTACTAAGTTTTTGTAGCCTAGTAGTACAATCTAGATCATACCAGCCAACAACAAATAACCACATTATTATTATTAGGTTAATGATTAGGCTAATTTTTTTTAAATCCACTGTTTATAAAAGAAACAAATCAAGCTAGAAACATTATAAGTGAGATGGTTTAGAATAATAACAATGGACCCAGTCTACAATTGATACAATTGCAGGTCTACATAAGGCCTACAGTCTAGTAGTTTACAGTAGGCACCTAGTGTGTAGCTAGTATACTAGTGTGTAGCTGTCCAGAGTTAAGATTCTTAATGCCTTAATGCTTTCCCCTGATAAGCCGTGTGTGCTATAAATGACATAACATGACACCGAGGTGAGAAGTGTTGAGGGGAGAGCAGTGGGACTTTCCCCTTTGTTCTCCCTGCTGGGCCCTGAGGGTCAAAATTATATAAGAAATACTATCTCTGTGGGGCTGGGTATCACGGAGGTGAGGCATTTTCAGGGGAGGGCAGGGCAGACTCCTCTTTGGTTTTATTGTGGGCTAGATACAGGTGGGGGCAGCCATCATGACGGTTGAACGTCAGTATTAATGTGTCTGATTACTTCCCTGCTGGATTATAAGGGTCTTAAATTGTATAACATGCTACCCAGATTGGTTATTACCCATGGATTATATTAGCCGTTGTAGTGTGGGTTTTGTAGGAGTTAAGTGGTCTCACGTTTGCTACAGTAGATAACCTCTAATATATTACTGCATTTGATCAGCTTCGTCTACTTAAACTCTAAACGCAAACGGTATTACTAACAGTATTTTTATTTAGAAATTTCAGCCACATATTTATATTATCCACGAAACTGTCAATAACTGTATAAGGATCTTCAATTCCTAAGAGTTCAAGTTTTTTAACATATTTTTCCTTTTCCGCGGGCGCGATTCTTTACATACGGTGAACACGTCCAGCGCTGGCGAACAGCTGATTGTGTTTACGTCTGATGTACACCACTGTGGCGGCGGGCGTAGGTATCACGTGATTTAGGTCACGTGTTTGCAAGGACTCTATAAGTTTTTAATTTATGGTAATTAATTAAGTTTAAAAGGTCATTTCCTAATGTTAAATGAAAAGTAGAATGGTTTTCCCATTGTTTTGATGGCTTAGCGATCTGATTGCACGCTGTCTCTGCTTTGGTCTTCCCCCTGTATGAAGGCTAGTTTCAAATACGTTGGAATCACGATTTTTTAAAAGGTTATTCTAGATGAGTGAAGATTACTGAGCAGACATATCTTATATATGTGGAAATGATATTTGTTTTTGGATATTTTGACTCTGACATTAGATATACTCGTTTAGAGGTGGTCACTGTATGTAGGTCGCGTTGCCACCATTGTTATATTTTTTCATCCCGATCTTCCGGCCTTAAGTTTGATCAACTAACTACAGCATTCTTCTGGAATGTGCAAACAAATCTCCTAATTTTTTATTTCAAAATATATTTACATACCCATCTTTAATTTTTTCAGCTCTAGATTCTAGTTCTACAGAATATGTTTTTCCTAAAATCCAATTTTTGTCAGACTAGTGACTAGACTCTGACAAGAGTCAGACCTAGAATCCTAGATCTAGGTTACCTGTCTGTTGCTATACACTAGCATTGTGCTAACTGTAATTTTAAGTATTCAAGTTCTACTTACCCTTAGATATCGTTATATGCTGAAAATCAGAATCCATACACAATTCACACAAAAACATTGATCTGATAACTTCATTTCACTTATTGCAAAATGGCTTTTATATGGACTCTACTTCACCTGCCCAAAATAACAAGGCAGTTATAGACACATTACAGTGTTCAAGTCATTTACTTTAGATTTCTGACTATGGAGTTCTTTCATTCACTGTATTTATATAAAATATTGCTTTAGAAACATTTTCATATTGCGCAGCAGTTTTATAACAAAATGGCTTAAAGATGGACTCTACTTCACCTGCCCAAAATAATGAGGCAATTATATGCACATAACAGTGTTCAAGTCATTTACTTTAGATTTCTAACTTTGTAGTTCTTTCATTTGCTGTATTTATATAAAATATGGCTTAAGAAACATTTTCATATTTGCGCAGCACACAGTTTTTTGGGGTTATGGGAGGAAGCCAACACAAAAATATAAGTTCTGTATTATTTTTATTCATTTCAATAGCATTTACAAGTTCTATATATCATTCTAGTTAAACTCTGCAAATATGAACAAAATACAACTGCAAGTAAAATAACTATGCTCAATTTATTCAGGTATACCATGACTTGTCACAATTGGCCAATGCAAAAGCAAGGGGATTCCACCCCTCACAAAAAAATTCGCTAAAAAAAAACTATTTGAGCTAGACAGAAAATCTTTTTTGTTTTGTTTTCATATAGTTGAGCTCTACAAGAATATGTAATTTTTATTTTTATATGATGATTAGTGTTTTTTTTACCAAAATCCCTATTATGTAATACAAAAATGTTTCCTTGTTTCATTTCTGTACCTGTTTTTAAACAATTGAATTAAAACTTTTCAGTAATAAATGAAGACTAGTGATGTTTCCAACAGATTCTACCATGCTCATGTCATTTACTATAGCTGCACTATAGCAGACATCTTGTTTAAGTTTGTTTTCATGTAAACTTATAGCAGATTCAGGGGAAGCCACTCTATTTTTCCAAATGGCTGCTGTATATATATAGCAAATCTTGCTTTCAAACACTGCTGTTTAAAGTTAATTTCTGGCCTATATTGATATGTTTAGCCATTGATTTAGGTTTATTATTCATTTATCTATAATATTTCACACAAATATATCACAGTATATTTCTATTAAAGCCTTGACAATGACGTAACTTTTTCGTACATTACTAGCTGCTGGCGATTTTACGTACCCAAAACGATAGATTACCCCCTATATAGCCTACTTAATACTAATATAGGCTACCTTGTTTAATAGGCCTATAGTTAAATATAGCCTACTAGACTCTAGTACTACTACTAATATAGGCCTATCGTTTTCACTTTTAGTGTCATTTAGGAAGTAAAATCGCCCTCGGCTAGCAATGTACGAAAAAGTTACCTCATTGTCAAGGCTTTAATAGAAGTAGGCCTATATTCATGTGACATATTTGTGTAAAATATTATAGATAAATGAATAAATTGAATAATAAACCTAAATCAATGGCTAAATATCAATAGGCCCTATAGGCCAGAAATTAACTCGTTTGCCAGCAAGATTTGCTATATAAACAGCAGCCATTTTTAAAATAGAGTGGCTTCCCCTGAATCTCTCTATAAGTTTACAAAAAAAAACTTAAACAAGATGGCTGCTATATTAAATGATATTGCATGGGCCATCCATAAATCTTCAGGATGGTGGTGGGAGCTTAAGAAATGTCACATAGTATTTTATTTTGTCATTCTTTTGGGGGAAATTGTGATTTTTGTTGGGAGGGGGGGGGGGGGGCATAGTGAGAATTTGGGTGGTGGTTTTGTGACATCATTGGTGGTTAGTGAGCATAATTATACTAACAGAGCAGGATATCTTTTATAGATAATATTTAGTATTGTTAAATTTTGTGAATCCTTTTTTTTTTCTCAGAATGGCAGATCATGCAAGTACTTCCTCTGGTCCAGCAGAGGTTACAAGCAAGAAAACTAAATGTTCAGGAGAGCATCAACATACTATTAATGATGTGAAGAACTTAGTCAATACGTACAATAATATTCACCAGGCTGTTGAAATTAAACTTGGGCATCTCATTTATCTTTGGATGGAAAATACTAAAAAAGTTATTCCAGCTGTAAAGATACTGAATGAAATTCTTAAAGCCAGACAACCTGTGAGTTACAGTTGTACAACTGATACGTTAAGTGGTTCTGTGAGACGTTTGTCTATTGAATTTAAAAAATTTAGACCATCAAGGAACATGCCTGAAATTGTTCAATTTCTAGAAAGACCATTTATTTTGCCACAAAGTAAACCTAAACCAGTGGTGGTCCAAGAAGAAGTTCAAGTGATGCAGCCAGAGCAGGAAGTTGTGGTTGAAGAAGGAACTAAGAAATTAAAAACTGACTGTTCAAAGTGTGCGCTAAAAAGAAAATCAGCAACTATTTTGGTCAAGACAAACAAAAGGTTAAAAATGCAAGTCAAGGAATTCAAAATGGAACTTGCAGCCAACAAAGTTTATAAAATTAAACACTTGAATCAAAAAATAAAAAGACTAACTGCGCAACTAGAACGACAGAAACAAATCAATGCCCAATTAAAAACAGCACATATAAAGCCTACAGCCCTAGTGGCCCCACCTGAATCGTCCCCCACCCAAAGTTCCCCTTCAAACACCTCGCCATCCAAGTCCTCTTCTTCAAAAGTTTGTACACCAGCTGTTATCAGTATTGACAGACAAAGGAAATTGAAAATCAAAAGCTTAAACCAAGCTAAAAGGAGAAACATTGAGACCATAAATTCTTTGAAAGAGAAATTGGAAGAAAAGAATGGCATTATTTCACAGTTAAAGCAAAGAATGAAAGAAACCAACGAGATGTACGATTATTTATTGTTAGAACTTGATGAGTGTCAGGCAGATATGAGAAACAATATAAAAGAAAATAACATTGAAGAAAGGAATGTCATATAGTGCTTTGGTATACTGTTTGAAAAACACAAACCTTTTGGTTCATGTATTTTTAATTTTGTCTTCTTCAACTTCAATGACATGTTATTTTATTGTCTTGTATGTGTAAAAATGGGCATATAACATTGGCTTTTTTAAGGAATTTACTTGTAACTTTTGGCCTGTGTTGTGATGTACAGAAATGCTGGTTCATGTATATATATATATATATATATATATATATATATATATATATATATATATATATATATATATATATATATATATGATTTAACTATTTCAATTTCATAAACATGAACATTAGTTACAATGTCATTTTCTTTAGTTTGTGTAAATATGTACATACATAGGCCCATTTCATAATTGTAACATTTTACTTGTTTGTTATGGTGCCTGTATTGTGTTATGTAACTCCACCATTGCCTGGTCCCCAGTCTATGCTAGAAAAGGAGTAGGGGCAATCACAACTGTTTATATCCAATCTGATATAGTGACTGTTGTGTCACTGTACCTAATTAAATATTAATTTAATGAGCTTTAGATCATAGCTTGATTACAGATTAATTGAATATGCCACAGACTCCCATTGTAAACTGTCTAGATAATAATTGTGCAGTCTAATTAATTAAAATACATAAATAGCGATGATTTTTTAATTATTACTAAAAGGCCAATTTTTGTACTACCATTATCTGCCACCTCTATTTAGTAATTTTTTTTTTATTTTTTTTTAAATTGTTTATCAATTTTGGTTACTTTTAGCTATCTACATTCATTTCTCAGATGTATAAATATGCATGTAAAGTTGTATTGAAAAATGTTAAAAATAATCCAGATATCCACTCATGAAATCAGATCATAGGACACTCTAACCCCTTGCATTGAAGTTTTTTAAAATTTATGACTTTGCACACATAGTTAATGTATGCTAAATTGACTTAGTTTACCATTGTGCTAAATCTAGCTATTATTGATACTTTATTTTATTTTTTTTTAAATATCATGGAAATGCCTACTTAATCTTGAATCCTTGAGATTCTAGTCACAATTAAGCCATACAAATTACAACTGAGAAATCTAAAAATAATTTTTTTTTTAAATTTTAAATTTTTTTCCTAGGGAGAAAATCATTCATGTAAATTCTTGTTTCTAAATCAATTATTGAATGCTTGAATCAACAGGGTAATTTTTAGATGTAGATTTCTAGATTGCAATATAATAAAATTGTTAAAATTAATTTTATAATTAGTAATGCAATTTAAATTCTATTGAGATTTCCTTCACAAACATAAAATGTTATTTCTAATCGTATTACATGTAGACCTAAATGACTAACTCTAGTACAAAAAGCCTCAGAAAGAAATTTTCTTGTGTAAAATCTGAAATTCTTAAAAAAACCCACCAATCTGATAAAAATTAGGATCTGTAATGGGGAGTTATTTTCTAATTAAAGTTAAACATAATTAAATAAAAAAATTTCCAACCTAAAGCCAACTGTGGACACTACCAAATGTAAGTCTGTTAGGTTGTTAATAGAAATATGTTTAGGGAGTGAGTCTGGGGCTTAGTTTAGAAATAGAGTGGGTAGATAAGCCTGTGGGCTTAACTGTGTACAGCTATTTTTTTTTAAATCATCTTAGTAGCTGTAATGTTACTTATTGTTACTTGATACACATTTTTTTTCCTTATGCCTATGTTTCACAACAACATCATTGCTTTTTTTTGTTTATTAGTTATTACATAATAACTGTATCTCAATAATACATGCTCTTGAAAAATTGCTATTTTCATTATTTGTTTTTTATGTGTGGAATGGAATGGATAAGATCACTTTGCTTTGGTGGTTAAACATGAATTAAATAAGAAAATAAAAGTCAAATTATATGACTTAGATTTTATCAAGCCAAATATATCAAGCTAACAACTATTGATGAGGAATTTAAATCTGATCTAACAGCACTTTCAAATTTTGTGAATATATAGCCAGATGTTTCAACTTTTGTTAGTAGAAGACCTGATTTATCAACACTGTCAAGTCTCATTTAAAAATTCAGGAGAAAAAAAAGCATAGAAGTGATGTGTTAAAACATTTTATTTTTAAAAGGTAAATTATCTAAGCATAAAAGCTGTCATACTGGGGAGAAGTGTTATGAATGTGATATTTGTTATAAAATCATTTTCTTAAAAGTATTATTCATTTATCCACAAAATTAGACATTCTTCTAAATTGCTATTTGAATGCGGTGTTTTTCTTGAATCATTTTCTCAGAAGTATGAATTATCTAATCATAAATTACATCATAGGCTTTCTGAGGAAAAACAACATGAGAGTGGATTTGTGACATGTCATAAAATGTTTAATTTGAATTTATCAAAACATAAAAATTCATACCCAGGATAAAAAATATGAATCTGATATATGCCATCAAAAGTTTGCTATGAGGAATAGATTATCTAGATTATCAGATTATTAATAATAGGGAAAAATACATGAATGTGATTTAGTCATGAGTTTTCACGAAATTCATATTTATCCCTTCATCTAAAATGTCACCCTGAAAAGCCATATGAATGTGACATTTATCAGAAAAAAAATTCTAAAAAGCTATATTTATTTCTTCATAAAAGATATCATTTTTTATGAAAAGCCATTTGAATGTGATGTTTGACTTAGAGGTGCTCTGTGAAGAACCTTTTAACAAAACATATGGGAATTCATAAGAATGTGAAGCATGTCAATCATAAAATGTTTTCTTAAAAGCAGCATTTATCTTCTCATAAAGAAACTCATTCTACAGAACTATTAAACTAATGTGATGTTTGTTATAAAAAATTTACCCAATATGAATAAGTCCTACTTATTTATGCATGAAAAATACTCATCCTGTAGAAAAGTCCTCAAGACATCAAAAATTTCATAAAAGAATATGTGGGAATTTATAGAATTACCAAACTATGAGGCCCATATTTAATTATAAAAAATAAGGGCTATACATTTTTTAATCGTTCTGGTGTGAATTTTCTTTAAATGAGAGCTGACAATCTATGTCCTTGTTTTAAACTTTTAAGGCCCAAATTAAATTCACTTTTCATTAAAAAAAAAAAAATCTGTATTAAATTTGGTATTATAAAAGTACATAAACCTATAAATGTGCTGACTTAATGAGTTTTGTAGGCAGTTCGCTGTACAGCTCAAAATTAATTTTGGTTTTCATAAACCCATGATATGCGCTATACCACTTTTTACCACTCTCCCTAATATATTCCATTTTGTTCAACCAAGCAAATATAAAGACAGATTTGAAGTAAGCCCATTAGGTTCAATTGTTATAATGATATGATAGTCTATTTATTCATAGTATTTTTATGAATTTTTTCAGGAAACATCATCTATAATGTTGTATACCTCTTTAGTTATTCTAATGATGACAATGTTATAGCTACCATAATCTAATCAGACAACTAACCTAGGATTAGGATGTTTTTTGTTAGATATTCTATGGTTGTTTTAACAGTATTTTATCTTTTCCCCTGCTGATGAAACATCGGGCAGATGAATTAGAGTTTGTTTTAGTGACCTTGACATACATGGAGATAGTGTAGTCATCACAATACCCATCTTGACGTGTATCTATAATGCGAATCAGGCATTCTTCAGAGCTGGGTGGACTCAGGGATGTTCTACAGACTTGAGCCTTGGATCCGAACTCGGGACTTTCAGGTTGGCAATTTACTGCTCTGCCGTGTGGTCCCAACAGTATGTGATGATCTGATACAACAGTTCACGATTGCTAACACGTCTCAAGTTTAAATCCTCAGAGTCCAACCCAGCTCTGATAAGTACTTGACTTGCATTAGGGAATGTAAAGATTAGCTGGCCACAGTGCTGACCTCATCATTCCTTCAATAGTAGAGGTCACATAAACAGATGAACTCTGCTTCATCTTCCTCCTTGACAGCCAGGTGTAAATATATATTTTTATAACAATTTATATTTAGGTTCACTGATCTGATTATAATTATGTGCATAGGGTTTGTAATATTTTATTCTTTATTTTGCCATATTTGTGAAGAAAGAATTAAACATAAAAAACTGTATAAAGTCATTAACGTAATTTAATTAGAAAAAATAATGTTCATACATACTAATTTCGATCAATACAAAGTAAATTGAATAAAACTTCATAAATTAAGACATTAAACAAGACCACAGCTATCATACCATCTGTTTAAATCAGAGGCGTAGCGAGGGGGGTGCGGACCGCACCGGGTGACACCATTTAGGGGGGTGACACCAAGGCAAAAAAATAGCAAAATATATAGAAAAAAAGTTGGGGGGGTCGCAAATCGAAAGTTTGAGGGGGGGGGTTCAAATCGAAAGTCTGAGGGGAGGGGGGGGTGTAAATCGAAAGTTTGAGGGGGGGGGGATGCAAATCGAAAATTTGAAAGTTTGTCCCCGGGAAGGGTCACTATGCCCATGGGGTGGGGGGTGACACCCATTAAGTGCCGCACCGGGTGACACCCGACCTCGCTACGCCACTGGTTTAAATGGGACAATATATAGGAGACATATAGGCCTAGTTCATTTCAATTACAAGTTCAATTCTAAAAGAAAATATTTGATTACATGATAGCCCATTACAATAAATAAATTTAAAAACAACTCAATATCCTGCAGCTTTCTCTCCTATTTAGCAAATGTGTACCCTGAATGAAGAATTAAAAGTCTTCATAGAAATCAGGGGACATTATTATTGTGTAGATATATTACAATTTATTGTTTGTAACATTGATTTTTCAATGAATTAAATTTAAAATAAAAAAAATTACATCAGTATTTGTTTTTCATACTGACATGTTACATTTAATCTTGTTTTCTTTTTGTGCTAGAGGGGATGTTCTACAACACAATTAAGTATTGTGTTTCAACATGTTAAGCGCCATATTATACTGCCTAGTAACTCCGATTTCAGTTTGCTTTTCTTTATAGATCTGCTTTGTTCATCAAAGGAATTACTACAAGGCGGAAATTGTTTGATTTTGTTGTTTTCACTTTTATATGGGTTGCTGTTCCCGGGGTTCAAACTCGAAACTTTTCAATTTGGACACCTTAGTTTTATCGACCTTTATTTCCTCTTGTCTTTTATAGGTTGTGAATGTACTCAGACAGAGCATGCCATATTTGAGCACAAAGATTATTCCATTCTGATGTGTAGGAATTTACTGTACCTATCAGTGCTGATTAATTAATTAGATTTTATTATTAGATCTCTTTCACCTTTCAATTGAAAAAAGTAATTCATACAAAAATATAAAAATATAGAAAAACCAGTATCCGCCCCCAACCCCCCCCCCCCCCATACACAACCCCCACACCCTCCTTCGGACAGTTTTAAATGCCGTTTCCCGGAGATAAATATCTAAAAGAAAAACCGGGTAGCCTTTTGCAGAGGCGTAGCAACCCTTCCCGGCGCCCGGGGACAAACTTTTCGATTTGCACCCCCCCCCCCTAAAGATTACGATTTGTACATCCCCCTCAAACTTTCGATTTGCACCCCCCCCCCCCTCAAGATTTCGATTTGCACCACCACCATCCCCCTCAAACTTTTGATCTGCACACCCCCCTCAAAGTTTCAATTTGCACCCCCCTCAACCTTTCAACTTATTTTTCCAACCCATTTTGGCGCCCCCTAAGGATGGCGCCCAGGGACATATGCACAGGTAGTAAATAGAAAAATAATGACACCCCTCCCCCCACGAGAGTTGGTTGTTTTAAATTTTCTTATATCTTAATATTTTAATTTCATTCATGACAGACGACATAGGTTAAGATTTAGTTCAATAAACATTATTATCGTTGCTAAACGGTGTATGGATTAAAAACGGATTGGGACGCTGTGGCCGAATAGTAGATCTCTTTGGCTGCTTTCTCGAATGTCCCTAGTTCGTAACTTGGTTTCGACTGTCACACGTCCCTAAGTCCACCCAGCTCTGATGGGTACGAACTTAGGCCTACCTTAGGGAAAGTAAAGGCGGCTGGGCATATGAACTCTACTTCATCTAGTCAATGGATAGCTAGGTATGGATATGAATTTTACTTTACTTTAAAGTGGATAATATTAAAAGTGGATAGTAGGCCATATTTAAATTTATTTGCAATTAAATACGCAATATTGTACGAGCAACTTACACTAGCTGCTAGCATTGATATTTCCCTATGTCTATGTCATCACATCATGACAAATTGGATTGTCATCTGATCGTCTTCTTGATAGTTTTCACCTATGACAGATGGATAACAAAGGAATCAAATTAAATAAAACGTTTTAAAAACGTTTAAAATAATATTTTCATTCTTTTATTAAAAAAAAAACTTAGAAATAATATAATTACGAAACATCTAGATTCTAGGCTCTGTTTAGGCTATAATTAATAATTATATTAAAATTTATAAAAATGCGACATTTCCTTTTAGCCGGATGTAGTAAATTATGAAATATTTCTCAGACCTGTTTATATTTTCAAAAAGCTAGCTAGATCTATGAATATCCCAGTAGATTCGTAAGTAGACAGTCAATATACTTCAATATAGGCCTAAGGACCAATTGTTTTAGTTACGTATTACAGGTCTATTATAGTTTAGAGTCGCTAAGTTTTGCTTGGGGAGGTTTTTCGAGTCGGGAAGTCTCGTTCTCGCGGTTTTGAAGCACCCGTGTTTTGGGCGGATATATAAAATATCGAATCTTTTCTTTCTCATGAAGTACATAATAATAACAGTTTAAAATAAGGATTGTATCGTAATCGGAAAGATTTGTACTCGAAACTGCCCATGTACTTACAGGGCGAATAATTAACATTTTAATAACGAAGTGACTACTCGGAAGAAGATTTTTCTCCCCAACGTCTCCACTTAGTCGGCAAAAGATAGCTCTGCCCATGCGCAGTGACCTATGGCTAGGGTTAGAATGAGGGTTAGGGATAGGATTAGGGTTGGTGTTAGGGTTCTGCAGTACCCATGCGCAGTACCATCGAAAATATCGCCGAAGGCAAGTCGTAGTATCTCTCCATTGCGCATGAGTATATTATTCCGGCTAGCATCGGCCTTTTAATAATGCTAGCTTGACCTAATTTCTTCCTTTGTCTTTCAAGAGGCTGTCGAGAGAAAGTCACGCTTATTTAGCTTGTGTTTCAAGTCGAATTAACTAAAGCAGGTGCGTTATTCAATAACTTTTTTATTAGATCCAATTTTTATAACATCTTTACTATCAAATAAAAATAGAATTGTTTAATGAAATTAGGGTGAAAACAATACATTTGAGGGTGTAAGTGGCCAACCCTTTTTTTTAAAGACGCTATTTTTTATGAATTTATAATAATCTAATTGCCGATTCC